ATCCCTGGGTGGCTGCTACCTTTCCATGAGCGATAGAGAGGTGTTTTATGGTGTGTGTGTGTGTGTGTGTGTGTGTGTGTGTGTGTGTGTGTGTGTGTGTGTGTCTTTGATTGGAGTCTCATAAACTACAAGTCTCTGATCTCCACTGTAGGGAACTAGAACAAGGCTAATCATCTGTCAGCAGCAAACTCTGGATGGCCGGATCTGTTAGGAACTGCCTTCAAACGACGTAATGAGGTGGCAGGTTTGATGAAATACTGAGCAGCGATGGCTTTAGAGACACTAACCTCTCTCTTATTTTCAGTGTTGAATTCCAAATTGCTGTGTATTAACCTATCTGTCTCCTGCCTTTTTGTATTTCAGTACCTACTAGAAATGAAAAGCTTAATCCTGCCCCCAGAACATATCCTGAAGCGAGGAGACAGTGAAGCAATAGCCTATGCCTTCTTTCATCTCTCCCACTGGAAGAGGGTGGAAGGGGCTCTGAATCTTTTGCACTGTACGTGGGAAGGCAGTAAGTAATTGTCTTTATTTGAAATGTTTCATAAGCGCCTGGTAAAAAGTGCTAAGACCGTTATTCCCCCAGTGCCCATGATGAGTCCCCAAGACGTGCATACGAAGCCCAAGACGAGCCCGCCCGTTGGTCTGCTATGCCTCTTTTCCAAGAGACAGCTGGTCACTCTGGCCGAGGGCTCCCCATCGGTGGTGGTCATGGTGCTGGCGGTGCCGTTGCTGCAGCTCGAGAAGGCAGGCTCCATTGAGTGGGCAGTTGGAAGCCAGGATTGTTAGGGCAGGGAGGGAAGCATCTACCACCCTGAAAAGCCTCTTTGGAGACCTTTGGCATCATGGAAATCATTAGCATGGGACTGGTTCTCAGACCAGGCTCTGATTACCACCTCTTGATGGCCTGTCTTAGAGGGCTGGCTAATGAGCCACATCGCCCTGCACAAGGCAATGACCATACGCAAAGGAGCAGATGGGCCATACACAAAGGAGCAGCAGGCGTGCTTCCACACCGGAGCTGGGGGAGAGGTGTACCAGTGGTTTGTAATGGTTGCATGCCTGCTGGCTGGCTGTAGAACTACATAAATCTGAGTGGTACTGTGGAGACGCCCCTAATGACCCAGGGCTTAAGTGCTCAGCTGCTAACTAAAACGTCAGAGGTTCGAACCCACTAGCTGCCCGTCAAGAAAAAGTGTTGACATTCTACTTCTCTAACGCTATACAGCTTGGAAACCCTTTGGGGTAGTTCCACCCTGGCTCGATGACCGCAGGCAGTGGATGTGCTCATGACCAACAACTCCTTTTTGGCTGTGTCGCTAGAAGCAGCTCTGGCAGTGGGTGAGATGGTCCCTGCCCCTGAACAAAGAAATGCATGGCCAGAGGGGCAGCCCAGCCAGTGTCAGAAGGGAGCAGTGTACAGGACGGAGTCGCCATGGCTAAACGAAGGATTCAGATCAGACTTGAAGGGAACCTTGAAGAACTAGGACAGTGCTGTAAGCAAGGGACGCGGTGTGAGGAAGGCTGAATGGTGAGACTTGCAGAGGAGGTGGGGTACCAGAGACAGCGCAAGGCTTCAGGATATTGGACGCTGTGTGCACTGGCGCCTGGCTGTCCTCGGGTTAAGCAAAGCAAATGCAGGGTGCAGCGTTTGCGTCTGTGTGAATGTGTAACCTCTCAGGAGGGACCCAATCCCTCATATAAGACTCCTGCTCACTCCGTCTCCTTCGCCTCCTTCAGATCCGGCTGACAGAGGAATGTCTTTAACCCCTTTTGCTCTCTTTATCTTGGCCGCTTCCTTTTCCATGTAGGCGGCCTTGGGCGCCTCCCTTTCCCTGTCCTTCCGGAACCCGGGGCTCATTTGAGTTGGTGCAGAATCGAAGTGGGGTGAGGGAAGGGTGGGGTGGCCTGTGGGAGGCAGGAACAGCACAATGGGATGGCGTGATGGTGAATTGATAGGGATGGGACTCAAAAGTGACGGGAAGGTTTTTGTCTAGTTGTTGGGAAATAGATTTCATCAGAGAATTAATCCCAGGTCCGTATATACAATTGAGCATTCTAACTTGAGGGAGATCGATTTAACTGATGCGTCCACCCTCCCCTCCCTGTGCTGACCAGGGCCAGCAACTGTCCAGGCAGTCCCCAGGCCACACCAGATGGGTTCCCACTTCTGTCTCTAAGTGCTACTTGTAGGTGAGTCAGAACAGGCGTAAGCACTTCTTTAGCGTGAACCCTTTCCAATGCAGCTAGCCAAGGTGATTAGGAGGAAGAGTGTGTTTTGAGCAGGGATTGGTTCGGTCGTTTCAAAGTGTGGGCACATACCCATAACACCAAAGGACAAGCAGGAGCTGTGTGTCAGCCCCGCTAGCCCCCGGGACTGCACGCACTCAAGACAGGTGTGGGGGTGCATCTGAGCCCCTCTGCCTTGGACTTATTGCTGTATGTATGTATGTAGGCTTATTGCAGTTTGTATGTATGTTGGCTGTTGTATGCATGTAGACTTACTATAGTGTGTGTGTGTGTGTGTGTGTGTGTACAATTCTAACCAGCAGAGGCAGAAGGAATTTGTATTTAAGCTCAAGAAAGAAAGAGAAGGCCTAGCCAGGTTGAGCGTGAGAGGCTGCACCTTTTGTTAGCTATATAAAAATATTAAACGGGCCAAGTGGCTCACAAAATAAGAACATATTTGTAGGTTGGCATCTTGACAATCTAGTAATGAATGCTCATCCAGTTGATATGATTCATCTGAGTTACCACGCCGTGGAAAGGCCCAAGAACAGAGACTGAGGGGGTTTGGCTGGGGCGCAGTGTAGAAACACCACACTCGGAATCGCATAGCCAGAGCGCAGTGAAAAAATTCTGTGAGGAAGAACAGGCCATTCTGTTTGGAAATGAGTTGCCCATAATGCCATCGGCTAACCAAGGGGAAGGACCATATCACCTCAAATCTTATGGGGAAAACATTCAGGACAAAAAGAAGTATGTTTTTAGACATAAAACCATTGGACAAGGCAGTCAAGGATAGGTCTGCATTTAGTGCATACAACGACGCAGAACCACTGAAGGAGGCACCTGTGAAAATCAGGTGCTTGGGGCTCCAGCCAATTAAATTCTGTGTCCTCCTGGGGGGAGCAGACCCCCACCAAAAAAAGTGATGTGGCTTTTCAGTGTTAGGAACCAGAGTTAGGACATACAATTTTAGAAACGAACTGTGAGCGCCGGTGGTCCGGTGCCCTGCAGAACACGCAGGCCCCTGACCGGCAACCGTGTAACTGGGGAGGTTACTGTGGGTTGGTATTTCCGTCATCCGTTGACTCCAGAGAACGTTCTGAGTCAGGCAGGACGGGGAAGACCGGTCTCCATTTCTCAAGCGCTGAAACAGACCCATTTAGATCAGAGGTCCTCAAACTATGGCCCGCGGGCCACATGCGGCCCGCTGAGGACATTTACCCGGCCCACCGGGTGTTTTTGCTGCTGCTGCCTGTCCTGCTTAGCAGCTGACTCGTCCAGTGTGCATAGGAATTTGTTCATAGTTTTTTTTTAAACTATAGTCCGACCCTCCAACAGTCTGAGGGACAGTGAACTGGCCCCCTGTTTAAAAAGTTTGAGGACCCCTGATTTGGATTACTGCTTTGTTGACAGTCACACAGCAACTATTGGTAGTGCTAGGGTGTCAACCCGAGTTCCCCCTTCTTCCCATTTCTCTTTCCTATAATAGCAGTGGAGGACAGGGGCTTGGTCGTCTGAACCAACTGCCTAGACGTCCACAAGGCAGGTGTCTCCACTGCTCACCCATCGGCTGGGCTCACTGCGCCTGGTGCTTTAGAAGGCCGAGAAAGCTGACAGCTCTATAGAAAAGTAGCCCAAATATTGACTGGTGCATTTTTTATACAGAATGTGCTCAGTTTTATAAAAAATGAAATCATTTCCATGTATGCACAGAGGAGCAACTGAAAGACATCTAATCGCCGTTAGTGGGTCGTTGATTGTAAGTGAGTTCACTTTTCTTCATCATATGGTTATTTGAGAGAGATGATAAAACAGGCACATTGGTTTTCTACAAGCCTTAGCCTGGGCAGGTTTATAGACACATGTGAGGAGACTGGTGACCAGTGGCTGAGCAGCCGGCTACTCACGGAAGATCAGGCGATTCAAACACGATCAGAATCTCCTCAGGAGCACACGCCCGAGGATCTGCTTCCATCGAGATTACAGTCTGGGTCAGTTCCACTCTGCCCTCTGGAGTCAGTGATGGCACACGGCCCAGGGAAAGAGCGATTAGAAAACTAGTCTTTGTAAAGGCATTGCAAAGGAAACCCAAGACAAACCGGGCCTTCTTAAAACCAAAACCTTAACGCTGCCACCCAATTTAGCAGAGAGAACCACCACCTGAGACAATCGTGTGCAGTGTAGCGAAATCGTTTCAGGATCTCTAAGCTCAGGGAAGCGCCGGCAGCAGAGCTGGGATTTTGGAGCTGAGGAGTTGAGTTAGAATTCTGACCTAGCTGTTTACACCAGTACTTAGTAAATCGACCTATCCACACTGCTGATGCTGAATGCCAGCCCCCCACTCCCCCCAACTTGGTGGCCTGTGGCGAGGTCTGCAGACCCCACCTGGTCATCCAGCGTCCCTGTGGAGGAGACTGCACTTCTTCCAGTTCGCCACTTGGTGGTGTGTTTTG